AGCAGACGAAGCCACGCGTTCACAGCACCGAGCTGGCGGGCCGGGCCGGCGGTTCGGGGCCCGTTTCGCGGGGCAGGCGCGGCTGGGCAGAGGGAAAAGGCCGGGCCTTCCGGATGTGGCCCGCCGCAGCGGAGGCTGGGAGGCCCGGCTGAGGGCCGAGGGCCCGTGCCTCTCCTTCTCTGCCACGCGCGGTGTGCTAGGCATTGAGCCGCCAGGTGGACTCCGGTGTCGCCTGTGCACAGACGGGCGCGCCGGCCCAAAGAGAGGACGTGGGCAGGAACACGCCTGGGACTAGGCGGGGCCGAGCCCGGGCTCCTACGGCTCTGGAGTGTGCCATGCCTTCTGCCACCCCTGTGTCCCTGCTTGCTGGGAGACTGTACGGCAGTTGGTCGCACGGAACCTTCTGGAGCACGCTGTTGGGGAGGTCCCGTCACACCGAGGACGCGGGAGTTCTGAACCTTGCCAGGGCGTCCACAGTGGTGCTGGGCGCCCTGCTTCCAAGGGAGGCAGCGACCCTCTGCGACTCCTGTGGCAGCACTCTTTCTCCGCCAGGGGTGTCTCTTTCAGCTGGCGGGCCGTTTATCTCCTGCCTTTACTGCTTCGTGTGCACCCTGTGGGGTCGTAGGAGTGCGCTTTCCAGTCAAAGGGGGCAGAGGGTCTGAGGAAATTGTGCAGGACCATTAACCCCAGTAATTTGTAAATCTAACTTACAAGAAAACTTGCAAAATATATTAAGGATGGCAGTGTCTCCTCATCTGCTACCATCCATCTGCTTCAAGGGTCCATGTAAATAAACCAGGTTTTGCTATGTAAAACAAGGCTTGGAGGCTCATGTCAGCAACACCACTTATCTGGCATCTCCTGGAATGAGGGGTCTCATGTAGGGACTGTTTGTACAAATGAAGTTTAGACCTAGAAATGCTAAAAGCTCTTTAGGTATAATTTTCAAAGGACATTTTTATAAAATGTACTGCATATACTCTTGCCCTTTGTAGGTGGCTAAATACTGGTCCCCTGAAGGTGTTCCTTGTCCTAATCCTTGGAACCTGTGAATGTCATCTTATATAGCAAAAGGGACTCTGCGATGGGATTAAGGACCTGGAGATGGCGAGTTTATCCTAGATTAACTGGGTGGGCCTGAAGTAACCACACCTGTCCTTATAAGAGAGAAACAGGAGTAGTCAAAGTCAGAGGAGAAGGCCACATGATGCAGAAGCAGACTTAAGAGATGCTGTGTTTCTAGCTTTGAAGGTGGAGGAAGGGGCCAGGAGCCCAGGGAGCCCAGGGAAAATGCAAGGAAACGGATTCTCCCCCTGAGCCTCCAAGAGGAACCAGCTGTGCTGACACCTTGATCTTAGCCCCTAAGGCTTATTTTGGACTTCTCACTTCCAGGATTCTAAGAGTATAAATGTGTGTCAGCACCACGCTCTCCCAAGTGAGCCAACCGGCCATCCTTATACAGGGATCCGAACCTGCGGCCTTGGTGCCATCAGCACCACACTCTCCCGAGTGAGCCACGGGCTGGCCCTTAAATGTGTGTTGTTTTAAGCCACTGAATTTGTGGTGATTTGTTACAGCAGCCATAGGGAACTAATCCACTTTGTTAGGTAGAGGATGCTGAACATAATCTTGACGATTGATTGTTGGTTGTTCTCCACCTTCTTTTATCAGTCTATTGGATGTCATTTAACCTTTTCTTGTTAACCCTGGTCATTGTGACTTTGTTTGGGTTCTGTGACCCAGTGCAGGGATTTCCTTAGGAGCTGTCCAGGGGTAGGGTGAAGAAGGGCTTTAACCCCTAAATAAATCCATTCCAGTGTGCTCTGGTTTTTGAGTTCTGTTCACTTTTCAGCGTGTTGGGTCTCCTTCCTTGGTGCCTGGCTGTGGCTGTAAATGCTGCTTTTGTTCTGCTCTGCCTGTGGTTGCCCTTAGCAGTTGCCTTGTTTGCCTTTCTCGCTTTTTTAAATCTGTGGACTAGGAAACCAGTGCTGAGTATAATCTTTAACTGTAACATGGGGATTTGTGGCATCCGTTTGATGGCTCAGAGGCCTTTTCCCTTCTATCATGTTAGCAGGGTTTGGTTAGGTGAGCTGTGGGGTGGGCAACCTGTAGTTAAATGCTTGCTGCGGTGACAACAGATGCACGGCAATGTGTGGTCCTTTCCAAGAATTGTGCAGAAGCTGATATGCCAGTTGCTAACTGTGCAGTAGTTGGGCTCCTTGCTTCTCAGAGTGTGGCCTGCAGATTGTAACATGGAAGTGACTGGGGGCTTGTCAGAAGTGCAGAATCTCAGAGCCTCAGACCTACTGAAGGAGAGTCTGCCTTTGAACACCATCCCCAGGGGCTTCAATAGCCCATTAGAGTCTGAGAAGCCTGGGGACCCAGTGAAAGACCCAGCAGCAGCTATCAGCTATGCTGAAAGTTCTTGGTCTTGTTTGAGCAGGCGTATGTGGGTGTGCACCCCTAACCCAGCATCTTCCTTCATTTGAGCAGTGGGTGAGCACTTGATTGAAGTACTCTCCTGTCTGCTTTCCTTTGCAGGTGTCAAGCTAGGGATGCAGTCCATTCCCATTGCCACTGCCTGCACCATTTACCATAAGTTCTTTTGTGAGACCAACCTGGACGCCTATGACCCTTACCTGGTTGCCATGTCTTCTATTTATTTGGCTGGCAAAGTGGAGGAGCAGCACCTGCGTACTCGTGACATCATCAATGTGTCCAACAGGTAATGGCTTCTGGGCTGAGGCATTTAGGAGGACTTCCTGGTGTCCACCCTGGAGGGGAAGGCAGAGAAGGCTCCCACTGAGCCCTGCCCTCCAGCTGCCAGCAGTCAGGCTTAGAAGGAACCACTGGGATGGCATTGAATGAGTGCCGGAAGCGCTAGCAATAAAGGTGGAAGGAGCCTGGTGTCAAGAGCCCCAGGGGAGCTTGGGCCAGATTATGGGAAGCCTTGAAGGCCAGATGGAGAGCAGAGGCAGGTTGAGCAGAGAGGACTTGGAGAGGCATGTCAAAGAAGATTCATCTGGAATCTTGGACAGGGATGGCTGGGGGCAGAAGGGCATGAGAGAGCACCTCCTTCCCAGTTAGGTTGTCCCATGTGTCCCACAGGGGGAGGGTGTGGACCCAGTGTCTTATTTAGCTGGTGTGAGAAACTGAGTCCTAGTTGCTCATGAACTTCTCTCGCCCTGCTGTGGGCATGTCATGTTCCTGCCGGGGAAGGACACGGGCCCAGCCAGTTGGGCAGGCTTTGCCAAGGCCTGGGATGTGGGTGGGGGGACAAGATTTATGGAAAGTTAGTAACTAGCTGTGAGTCATGGGTCTTTCCAGGAACTTTGATCATTAGGAAAGAAAACAATTTTGTTCTTCTTTTTTTAATAAGCAGGTAATGGAAGAGCACTTCCCACCCCCTAAGCATGACAGGTTCACAGTGTACAGGGAGAGACTAAGACAAAAACAGGCCAGGAGCTTAGGGAGGGTGGATGAAGTCTACCTGTCATTGTCTGGTCCCCAGCAGGGAGGAGCAGCAGAAGGGGAAATTGTGTGCAGCCCTAATTATATGTGGGTAGGGGGAGGGGCTTCTGTGGGGACACTGGAAAGTGAGCAAGCAGCTTGGAAGGATGAATCATTGGCAGAGAGTTTTGATCACTTGAGTGTGAGTCCTGTTCATGTCCATCTTGGGGATCTTGTGGAGGTGGGGGGCTGTTGTGGACGTATGCAGTATAAGTAAGGACAGAAAGATCTGGAAGGAAGGAAGGAAAGACAATGTTGGAAGTATAAAACTGAAAAGCGCTCACTTTTCTGAGTACCTCATTCTCATGATATGTTTCAATCTGTTCCTGGGCCTGGAGTGAGAGCCCTGGGATTTGCCACCCCAGGCAATGAAGACTCTCCCCAGCATTAGGCTGGCTGTGACAGGAGGCACAACCACCTCGGAGTGCTAGAGCTTTGGTCCCTCCAGCACCATTGCAAAGGGCCCATCTCTGCACGTGACACCTTGCTGAATGACAGGGGATGGCCCATCGGGCAAAAACTGGGAACCAGTTTCTGTCTTCTGTTGGCTACTGTTTTCATTCTGTACTCTAGACATGTAGATGAAGAATTATTTTATAAAGGATAAATAAAATGACCCTGTGTTAATCTACAGCAGGAGGACACTGTAGTTTGTGTCTGGCCATCACGTGACTTAAGAGCTTGACCAATTGGAGCCACGCATTTCTCAGGGGAAACCTGACAGCCGCGGTAAGCATGCCGTTTCTCTGCCCAGGTACTTTAACCCAGGTAGCGAGCCCTTGGAGCTGGACTCCCGCTTCTGGGAGCTCCGAGACAGCATTGTGCAGTGTGAGCTCCTCATGCTAAGGGTCCTGCGCTTCCAGGTCTCCTTCCAGCACCCACACAAGGTACGTGTTGGGAATTGGTGACTGTTTTGAGAGGCTTGAACTGTGGTCTCTGTTCTTTATCATGAAAGTGCAACCCAGCTAATACCGGGAGCACAACACTTCGGTGAGAGCAGGCTATACCTGGGAACTGGCCTCCTGCCTCTGCGTGCGGTGATTGGGTAGGCTGGCCTCTCTGGCTGGCTCCCACGGGTTTTCTCAGCTGTTCTAATTTCAGCTTCTGCCTTTTTGCCTGCTCGCCTGTGGCCCCAGGCTGGGATCTGAGCGGCCCCCTGAATCCCGTGGCCCGTATAAAGCGTGTGCTTGCTGAGCCTCAGGGAAGTAGAGCTGGTTTTGTGACCTGCCAATGTCCCTCTCACCATATGTGGCTGTTCTGCCTTGGAGCTTGCATCCAGCTCAGCCATGCTTAGAAACCCATGAGAAAAGCCAAGTTGCTCAAGTTAACTGACACACTCTCAACTTCTAGGGACATATAAGTCTCAACAGAAGAACCATTTCAAACATCAGCAAAAGGCAAAAGTCCAACTTTAGGAACACTTGGATGTGGTACTTCGGGTACCTCAGATCCACAGGCAGTTCAGAAGGATGGCCTGCCGAGAAAGACGAGGGGAGTCGTGGTTTGGGGCTCTGGACTACGATTTCTGTTCATTTTAATGGAACTTTTTATTGAGATAATTGTCGATTCCCACGCACTTGTAAGGAATAACATAGAGCGGTCCCATGTGCCCTTTGCCCAGGCTCCCCCAGTGGAAACCCTCTGTGAAATTCTATTCTACTGCAGTATCGTAGCCAGGATGTTGGCACTGACACAGTCTACCAGTTTCCCCAGTTTTACTACAGTTTTATCCCATGTCTGCTTTCATGCATCCACAATCAGAGTCAAGGTACAAAACAATTCCATCTGCCCTTTTCTGATCTCACCCCACCTTTCCACACTCACTCTCTAATCCCTGGACACCTCTGGTCTTGGATTTCCAACGGGCAGCCAACTCTATGAACCTCTGACCCATGACAAACACCAGTGGTGTTTGAGTCAGCACAGTGCTTGATTGGTGTGTGGGAGGAAGGTGGGCACTGCACTGGTGGCTGTGGGCTGGAGTTGTCAAGTTGACGGGGCTTAGCAAAGAGCAGTGCTCGGCCACGGAGGATATGTGGTCTGTCTTGGGATCAGGAATTGGGGGCTTGGCCTTACTGGGAGCCTGCCAGCCCCTCCCCTTCCTCTAGTCAGGGGAAGAGTCTCAGGATGGGGTAAGAAGTAATGCCTGAATCCCTTCTCCAGGGTGCGCTCCCCAGCGTCTCTGTATTGCATGAGGTTTGGGTAGGGCGTCTGTCTGCTGAGAGCAGGAGCCGACAGCTCAGCCCGAAGGTCGTTAAGATGTAGCTGAGAATGGCACTACTTTATCAGGGTCTTGGCACTAAGTGGAAAAATGCCGTCACCAGCCTCTACTCCTCCTGAAAGCATATGCCCTTGCAGACGGCTGGGCACGTGGGATGCAGTGCCCTATGTTCTGTACATAAGGGCACTGCTCTCTAGAGCACCAGACCCTGAATGATTTCCCATGGTGGCTGGAGCAGAGTCCTGTGATGGAGAGGAATTGCAGTGGGGGTGGCCATTGGGAATAGCCTGAGTGGCTTACCCCAGAGCTGGACCCAGAGGGTGAGAGTGGGCAGGCAGGTGGGGGCTGGGATGGGGGTGAGATGATCACAGGCAGATGGAGTGGCCGGTGCAAAGGCCCCAAGGTGCAGTGTGCTTGGTGCGTGCAGACACGCAAGGGTGGGGCTGGGACGGAGGGGAATGGGACTGAGAAGGGAGGCAGGGCTTGGTGGCCAGCATATGGCATTGTGGCTTTTCCCCTAAGTGACATGGAAACCTTTGGAGGGTTCAAACAAGGAGGTGACCTGATTGCGACAGCATGGGGAGGGAGAGTGGCGGGGAGGGAGAGTGGCTGGCAGGCAGAGGGAGCAGTGTGGCAGGGAGACTGAAGGCAGACTGGAAGGCAGACGGGCTGATGTGCCATGTGTCTTTGCAGTACCTGCTTCACTACCTGATTTCCCTGAAGAACTGGCTGAACCGCTACAGGTGGCAGCGGACCCCCATCGCCATCACAGCCTGGGCCCTGCTGCGGGACAGCTACCATGGGGGGCTGTGCCTCCGCTTCCAGGCTCAGCACATAGCCGTGGCGGTGCTCTACCTGGCCCTGCAGGTCTACGGAGTTGAGGTGCCCGCTGAGGCCGAGGCCGGGAAGCCCTGGTGGCAGGTGAGGTGGCTGCTCGGGGCACCGAACTGTACCCCATTTCCCTTCAGAAGTCCCTGTCACTGGGTGCTCAGCAGTTTCTTTTTATTAATTATCCGTGAAGAAAGATATGGGCTACTTGGGAATATGGAAGCTTGAAAATATCGTTCTGATATCTGAGGCAGGGGCTCCCTACCTTGGCACTGTGGACGTTTGGGGCTGGATCATTTTTTGTGTCAGGGCTGTCCGATATTGAGCAGCAGCCCTGGCCCCCATCCAGACATTGCCAGATGTCCCAGCATGGGGTTGCCCTAGTTGAGAACCACTGAGCTAAGCCCGGATCATCAGATACTTCTACTGAATTGAGTGGGAGTTTGTCATGGGTCAGAGGTTCATAGAGTTGGCTGCCCATTGGAAGCACATGGGCTGCTCTCCAAAGGTGGCTGGGTGGTTGGTAGGCAGGTAGATGATAGAGACAGGTGGATGGCTGGGTAGATAGTTGAGAGATAGAAGACGGGTGAGGTAGGCGGTAGGTAGATGTATAAGGAAGGTATGTGGATGTGAGATGACTGGTAAATTCTCCACCTCCCTCAGACCCACTGAATCTGAAGTGCAGTTTGTAGAGAGCGTGTTAAGATCTGCCCGGTGGAAGAGCTGCCCTCTTCGCTGGCCTGCTTGCCCTCTGTGGCAGACCACAGCCTTTCCTGGTTTCTCTTGATAATTGTCTGGCCGATCCTGCACCCCACCAGACTGTAAGTGCCCGAGGCCGGGGATCTTGTCTGTGTTGTTTACTGCCACATCTCTAGTGTCTAGACCTTGCACACAGTAGGTGCTTATAGTCCCAGTCTTGGGCCAGGTTAACCCCCCCAGGGTGTGGGGTTAAAAGGGCATCCATGTGGACAGAAAGTGTTGTTCCATGCTTAGCTGCTCAGGGACTTTTAGATAATATGACTGCGGTGTCCCTGTCAGTTGGGATCAGGTGGCAGCAGAAGGAGCTGCCACTTCCTGGCTCTGTTTTCTGAGGACATCTGGTGGCTGTGGTGGTCCTGGTCCCTGAGCTGCATGGATCTCCTGTGTCATCACCTGTTTCCTATTGTCTCTGCTGGCTCTCCTCCCTTTCTCTTTTTATTTTAATTTTTTCCTTTTTGTCTTTTTTCGTGACCGGCAACGGATCGCAACCCTCAGTGTCGCGCCCGTACCGGACCGGGACCGGCAACGGGATCGCAACCCTCGGTGTTGCGCCCGCCCCTCGCTCAGCCAGTGAGCGGGAACCGGTCTGTATGTGGGATCTGAACCCTCGGCGGGAGCGCCACCGCGCTCCCAAGCGGCGCACTGTAGCAGTGCGCCACCGGGCTGGCCCGTCCCTTTCTCTTTTGACTCTGTCTTCCTTCACATGCTCAGAGACTTCACTTGGTGTGCCGGCGTTGCCTCTGTGCCCCATGCTCAGCCCTTCCAAGGGGAGCATGAGCCAGACTGGCCGACCGCAGCCAGGGAGTGGCTCTAGCATGGGGCTCTTTTCTGGACAGCACAGACTCGCCCAGCAATTGCTCAGACTGCGAAGAAATTGCACTTTTTGGGGTGGCAAATGCATGTTCACCGAGCTCTTCGTAAAGCCTGTCCCATGTGATTTCGCCTTTCCTGGATGGCTCAGGCTGTGTGTACCGGGAGCTTCTGGATCCGGGTGTGCCCTTGGCTGGTGAGGCAAGGCAACATGCCTTGCAATGAGTGGCTCCCAGGGAGGCCTACCTGCCCGGGCGCTGGGAAGCTTACAGCTGATTTTCGAACCCCTTTTCCTCCTCTTGTGCTCTTGGTTACCCCTTGTAGCGACAGCCTCTGTTGTCCCTTGTCTGCCATGGGCACAGCACAAGAGCTGGATGCACTTCTTTGTGAGAAGCCCACCTGCACCCGAGGGCACTCGTGCCAAGCACATGAGGCATTGCCTCTGACTTTCAAGACCAGCGGGAAGGCAGCGGGGTCAGAAGTGTCGCAGGCTGTCACATGTTGTGGCTGAGACTTCCATGGCTGAAGCTGCACCAAGTGCTCTCCGTAGCCTTTTCCGTGCAGCTAGGGAGAATTTGCTTGCTTCCAGCCACTGTTACTCTTTGTCCTACAAGCACAGGTGCCATCCGTGCATAGGAAGTTGATGTCCCCAAGCAGGTGGATTGAGCTGCTCTTGGTCCCAGAGGGAAGCAGTGTCTCCTCCTAGGATTTGGTGCTGTGTCCCTTCTGCTACCAGGTGTTCCAGGGTTGTTACTTGCGTTGGACTTTTTGTTTTTAATTGTGGTGACATATAACTTACATAAAATGTAGCACGCTAACCATGTTTAAGTGCACAGCTCAGTGGCATTAAGTATGTTCACATTATGCAGCCATCACCGCCATCCACCTCCAGAACTTGTTCATCTTCCCAGACCAAACCTCAATCTTCCCCAACAATGACTCCCCAGCCCCTCCCCCAGTCCCTGGCTCCCGCCCTTCTACTGCGTGTCTCTATGAATTGGACTCATAAGTGTGGAACCATACAGGATTTGTCCTTTTCGACTGGCTTCTTTCACTGAGCAGTGTCCTCAAGGGTCATCTGTGCTGTAGCGTGTTTTGGGGTTTCCTTCTGTCTTACGGTTGAGTAATACCCCTTTGCAGGGCTGTACAGCACCACATTCTCTCTCCGTTCCTCCATTGATGGCTACTTGGCGTTGCTTCCACCTTTTGGCCCTAGATTCTTTTTAATGGTTATTTCTTGGCTTGGGGTCTCTAGGAGCATACAGATAGTGGACCCTGATGAGCAAGCCTGTTTTTCGGAAAGATTTGTTTCCACCCAGAGCCCAGTGTGAGACGGCTGTGATTCCCCAGCCAGGGCTCAGAGGGTTGCCAGGTCACCGTCTCCCACCTGAGCTTATAGTCTGTGGAGGGGCCTAGCTTTCTTTGAGAGGTTTGGGGCAATAGACTCAGGTCCAGAACTTGCCTTGGCTTGGCCCAAGACCTTGACCTGATTGGTGCCTTGGTTCCCCAGGCGGCAGTCTCCCTGGTACAGGGTGGCTACAGCATCCAACCAGGGGCTTGTTGCTTTGCTTTTATCTCTCTTGTGGCCAGGGGTCCCCAAGAGCACCCTCAGGCTCGGTGATTCTCTGGGAGGACTCTCAGAACTGAGGACAGCTGTCACCCTCGTTGTGGCTCATTACAGTGAAAGGGCACGGGTGGAAATCAGCAAAGGCACAGGACAGGCTCCAGGAGAGATCGGTGCGAGCTTCCAGGCGTCCCCTCTGGGGGTCGCCTGGACAGTGCTTACCTCTCCCAGCAACGGAGTGTGAGGAACAGTGTATGACATCATGTGTGGAGCACTGCCAGCCAGGGACCCTCACCCAGGCAGGGGTGTCCAGGGTTTTTACTGGGGCCAGTCGTGTAGGCGTGGAGCGCCTGTGTGGCTGACCTTGGTCACTCAGGCTCCAGCCACCCACGCGTCCAGGTGGTACCACGTGGCCCAAGGCCCCCACCCTGAGTTATGTCGTTGGTGCAGATTACCTGGCAGGGCCCAAGGCCCCAGGTGCACAAGATGCTCTCTTTAGGCAGGATTTTCCAGGGGCTCAGAGGTTACCCCCAGGGGCCAGGCCTGCCTGCCAAAGAGCAGGGTGTGGCCCCCAGGCCTGTGAGTTGGCCCCATGCTGCACACCCCTGTTGGTTTGGGCCCCTGAGGATTTAGCTGCTTGTCCTGGTCTGGATGTCTAGGCTGTAGAGCAGGTCCCAGTGTTCCTCAGGGCCTGGCTAGGGTGGGGGTGGGGTCCTGGCTACCAAGCCTGCCTCTTTCTGGAAATGGGACCCCTGCCCTTTCCTCTCACCAACATCCCCAGAGATCCTGGACCTGAGAGAGCCCCAGGCAGGAGGCAGGAGCCTGTGCTCTGGGCCCAGCTCTGTCACCAACTCACTGTGTGACCTTGGACAAGTCTCCTCTCTTGCCTGGGTTGGGCAGTCACCAAGGCCTCTTCCATCTGGAATGTTCTCTTCTTAGTATAAAGTCTTTGATCACCCTCAACAGGCTGGAACTGAACAGGCTTTGCAGGAGAGCCACCATTGTCATGGATAGCTGAGTCCCCATGCCCCCTTCCCCACCCGTGAAATGTGATTCTGCACATAGTGGCTGGTGCCTTGTTGAGCACAGAGGATGTCTAATTGGAACCTGTTTTCCTTCTTTCTAGGTGTTTAGTGACGACCTTACCAAGCCAATCATTGGTAATATTGTGTCTGATCTCATTCAGATTTATACCATAGACACAGAGATCCCCTAAGGCCCTGGCCCAGGCCTGCCCAAAGAGAAGCCCAGGATGGTTGGCTGCCTGGGGATGGTGCCACCATGTCGCCATAATGGCTGGTTCCCAGAGGACCAGCTGGGAGGACCAGTTGTGCTGCCGGAGATGCTTCTGCTTTGAGTGTCCCCAGCAGCCACGGTCCAGATGATGACAGGAGCTGCGACTCCAGCAGGCGGGCCAGGAGTGCACTGTCTGCAGCCGAGCCGAGGTGGCCACATCTGCTTTTGTCCTTTGAGAGGACTCTGACTGCAGTTGAGGCATGATGCTGTTGAAAGGAAAATCAGAGAACAGCTGGGACTGCACCCCTAAGGATTTTTTAAAAGCCAGATTTACAGAAAGTATGGATGTGCAACAAAGATGGAATTTTATTTTGTGTAATAAAAGTTGTAAATCAGGGCCGCCCCGTGGCTCATGTGGGAGAGTGCGGTGCTGATAACACCAAGGCCACGGGTTCGGATCCTATATAGGGATGGCCAGTTAGCTCACTTGGGAGAGCGTGGTGCTGACAACACCAAGTCAAGGGTTAAGATCCCCTTACCGGTTATCTTTAAAAAAAATAAAAATAAAAAAAATAAATAAAAGATGTAAATCAGCGGAGACCCCTGTCTTTGCTCGGTAGCCAGTGCTGCCCATTGGGGGTTTATGGGCAGCGGCAGAGACTCGATTTCCCTTGTGACCCAGGACGCTCTGCACTCCTCCTGGCTTGCAGTGCCTGGCAGGGTGGCACTGGAACATGGCAGGGCTGAGGAGCTGGCCTGCTTGCAGGTGAGCATTGGTTTTGGAAAGAACACTGCCATCAGGTGGCAAGCCTGGGGAGACCTGATCAAAATGCAACTAAAAGTAGTAAGGGGGGTTTTTTTAATGTCAAGGTAGCCAATCTAGAAGGGGAGTCTGGAGAGAGTCAAAACTGTAGCACCCCTTCTGAACCTGCTCCAAAGCTACTTCTTCAGAAAGGACCTCTCCTGGGCATGTGAGAAAACACACCCCGCCTGTGCTCCTGGGTTCCTCCACTGGGATTGACACATTCAGCACAAGATGTGTAGTGTTCAGGGACTGTCCCGGCAACTTCTGTACATTTCTCCGTGTTGCTAGCACAGGAGAGTGGGCTCTGACACCCACAGGTACGGGGGTGGGGTAATGCTTGGAGTTGTCCCCGGAGCTTTGGGTGAGCACTTTACATCACATGGGTCTCGCTTGTCATCCCTGGTGGGGGTGGACGGAGCAGTCACACATTGGTGACAAATCAGGCAGCAGGCTCGCTGGACATTACAAAGGGACTATGTTACCTGTCCACAGTGTAAGGACTCCGAGCCAGTGTCCCAGCCTTCCTGGTGGTCAGGCCTGTCCTCGCCGGCCTGGCATCTGTTTAGTGGAACTCTCCTGTGGGTTTTGATTATAAACTTAGCATGGGCTCGTGTTTCAGCTGTACGGTTGTAAGCTTTTTGAGACCAATCAGTCACGGAGCCACATTTATTGAGCAGCTACCATGTAGTGGGTCCCGGTCTAAGCTGGGGGCATAGCAGCGAAGCGAGCAGACAAAGCCCTTGCTCTCCCTGTGAGGAGGGAGAGACTAGACAGAATGAGCAGACCCACAGTGTGGTGGTGAGAACTGCCGAGGAGAAATGAGGCGCCCAGGACGCCAAGCACAGCCTGGAGCTGGGGCCAGGCCTCTGCACGTTTGGTTAAGAGAGTCATTCTGGATTGTTCCGGATACAAAGGCAGCCTCCTTTGCTGCCTTGTCACGGGCTACTAGAGCCCTGAGAGGCACTGTGAGAGGGCGAGGCCCCTGGAACTTTCTGGGTGTGCTCACTGCGACTGGGGCCGTCAGTTTGGTGATACACCATGGACCTGCTTTGGGAGGCGTGGGTGCTTCTTCCAGATAAGCCAGAAAAGGTGAAAGGGAGGAACGCAGATGGAAAGCCACTGCCTCTGCCGAGTGCTCCACCCTTGCGGTGGCATCCTTGTCCCTGTCGCTCCTTGAGGAGTCTGTGCCGTTTGCAGGCTGCGTGCTTGCTGACCTGGCCCTCCTGCCCCTAAGTTTCCTTCATCTGTTCCTACTTATCTCTAGTGGTGAATGAGAGGTTGCCCTGGACTGGGCTGATGGCACCTCCCCTGGGCCCCACCACCCCCAGAGTTCCCCTGTTCCACTGTATTGTTCCCACATCTGTCCACCCAGTTCAACCAGAGGCCTTTGAGGATGGGGACGGTGGCCTAGGGCAGGGGCTGCGAGTGTGGAGCGTGGATGTTGAGGGGCCAGCCAGCAAGCCTCCGAGGGCAGCTGTGCTCTCTCGCCTTCCTTCCCGTCTTCTGCTGTTTAAAAGCACCTCTCCTGGCCTGCTCTTTGGCGTTGACTATGCACTGCCCTTGGCCATGTGCTTATTGGCAACTTGAATTCAGACAGATGTTTCACTTTTGGAACAGTGTGGATGAAGCCTTGTTCTATTTCGGTGTTCCTCTGCATCGTGAAATTAAAGTTAGTGTGACAGGTGTTTTTTTTTTATTGTTTTTGCTTCCTATTACCAAGGCTTTAGCAAAAAATAATGGGGATTAAGGATATACATCCTTCCATCTCTTTTATTTTAGGTTTTAAAAAGTTCAGCAATAAAAGGTTGAGATAAGATTTTCAAGAACCTGAAGTTTCCAGGAGCTTTTAGTCCAGAGCATGTCTTAATTACCATAAAGTGACAAATGGCTGACCCTTACTTGGCCTATAAACCCAGTGGAAGGAGGAGGAGGGCAACTCGGTCCTGGGAGGGACCCAGCACATCTCTTCCTTCTTGGCCATAATGGATTGAATGGTGTCCCCCAAAAGATCTGTCTGTGTCCTAACCCCTGGACCCCGTGAATATGATCTTGTTTGGAAATAGGGTCTTTGCAGGTATAATCAAGTGGAGGTGAGTACATTAGGGTGGGCCCTGATGCAGTGACTTTTAAGAAGAGGAGAGGAGACACAGAGACAGACACGCATGGAGGGAGAATGCCATGTGAAGATACAGACATAGGGGAGAAGGCCACGTGGTGACAGAGGCAGCAATTGGAGTGATGCATCTGCAAGCCAAGGAGTGCCAAGGAGTGCTGGCCACACCCAGCACTAGCGGCTTCAGAGGGAGCTAGGCCCTGCGAACATCTGGATTTTGGACGTCTGGCCTCCAGCACTGTGAGAATCAGTTTCTGCTGTTCTAAGCCCCCCAGTTTGTGGCACTTTGTTACAGCAGCTACAAGATACCGTACATGGGCCTTCCCCGGACCCCCACACGAGCCTTACTCCCAGGGCTCGGCTGTTGTAGGCTTCCTTGCCCCAAACCATTTGGCTAAGTACTGATTTTCCCCCATGGGAACCTGGGTCATATTTGATAGCAGAAGTCCCTGGAAAAGAGAAGTCACAGACACAAATTCACGATTCTTTGTGGGGAGCATAACATCTCTCCATAAGGTGCCAGCCCTCTTGGTATGGAGCAGCGCCCAATCTGGACTGACAGCCTTGCGGTGAAAGACACGCTCATGCCCCAGTAAAGCGGAGGCACGCAGCTGCCTGGCTGGCTGCTGGTTGCTGCCATTGGTCTTTTTGCCTGTTTTAGAAGTATGGATGCTGCTGGTTGGAGGGAATCTTGAAGCCATTTTTGTCCTTTCTTGGCAGCTTCCCTGGAAAATGCGCTCTCTGGTGCTGCCAAGTCTAAAAGGGTGATGTGCGGGTCAGCGAAATAGAAACATCATGGAATGAGGTGAGGGGAGCCTTAGTGCCATCACCGCAGTGGTCCTTTGCAAGTCTTGGCCACAGAACTGCCTTCCTGGCTCTCCGGAGCTGGACCACGGGTGTGTGCACGCACAGGTAGCTGGCGAGTGCGGGAAGGGAGCGTGTGGAGTAAGTGGATGAGGGACAGGATGGGCTTCCTCTCCACGGCTTTGGGTTGAAGAGGAAATCCGATTGGAAGCCTCGTGAGCTGCTGATGGGAACGTACAATGGTGCAGCTGCTGTGCAAAACAGCACGGCGGCTTCTCAAAGATTAAACAGAACTGCCACAGAATCCAGCAATCCCACTTCTGGGTACACACCCAAAGGGGCTGAAAGCAGGGTCTCGAAGAGATATATGTGCACCCGTGCTCATAGCAGTATTATTCATAACAGCCACAACGTGGAAGCAGCCCAAGTGCCCATCCATGAATGGGTGGATAAGCACTGTGTGGTCCAGCCATACGATGCAGTATTACTCAGCCTTAAAAAGAAAACTCTCACCAACACGCTACAACGTGAATGACCCTTGAGGACATTGTGCTCAGTGAAATGAGCCAGGCACAAAAGGACAGAGCTGAATGGTTTCACTTATTTGAGGACTTTATATGAGAGGAGTCAAATCCATAGAGTAGGGCCGAGCCCGTGGCGCACTCGGGAGAGTGCAGCGCTAGGAGCGCAGTGACGCTCCCGCCACGGGGTCGGATCCTATATAGGGATGGCCGGTGCGCTCACTGGCTGAGCGAGGTGCGGCCGGTCTCAAAAAGGAAAAAAAAAAAAAAAAAAAAAAAAATCCATAGAGTAATG